CATCTCTATGTATATATATATCCTAAATTCTTTTTTTTTATTACTTACTTTGTATATTCGTTGTATAAATCCAACAACAACAAAAAATGTAGTCGTTTATTCTAAGTTTAATTCAGTTCATTTATTCTATATTAAAGTAACTAAAAATTACGTTGATTACACTGATTTTTATGAGTTTTCCTTTTTTACAAAAAAAATTATTTTTCAAATAATCAGAGTTCTCATCGGTAAATGACTTGAGCTTTGACCTTTCAGTGTTTCAAAGTTAACTATTAATCACCATAGAAATAAGATTTTTAAAAATTAATTGAATATTAAAGAGTATTAGATGGATATTTTACGTCTTTCTTAGATTTTTTTTTCAGGAAATACATTAAACTCAAACTGTTCAAATTACTCCCCCCCCTTAGTTTAGAAGAGGTGAGAGTAAACTTTATAATTTAAACTTCAGTTGTCATGATTTTACAAATAAAGTCAATGTTACACTTGGTGTTAAAAATTATCTCTCATTAACTAATTAAATAGCTCATATCGTTTCATTTAAGTTAATGTTGTTTCTTGTGTTATATGGTTTAAATTAATAAAATTGAATTTGGCTATAAATTAATTGGAGACGAAAGCTCGTATCATCCTCAATACAAGTAGGTTATATAAGCGGATTATGAGTGCTTCAAAAATTTCAAGATAAAATTTGCTAGCATACCTAATTGCAGTTGTATATCCTACTATATTTAACATAAATCCTTCATCTTTGTTGTACTCTATACTCTATGAAAAGCCCTGATTTCTGAAATAATTCACAATAGTCAAAGCGAGTGATTTTAAACACATTCATTATTCTAATTCATAACTCGTAATCATACGGGTAGTACTTATAACAACAGTGCGCAATAACCCGTAGTTTTTGATTACCTTCATAACTAATACGTATTTTATATAAAACTACATAGTATCTCTAGAATTAATTATTTACTGTTTTAGAGCGATTTTGACGGTGGTGACCTATTTAAAGTTTTAGGCTGCTTATTTTTCTGCTGCGCATATACTGCAACAAACCTTCCTGTTTTAAAATTTTGTTAATTCGAAAACCTGTAGGGAAACAGAACATTTATTGGGATATCTGCACCTTAGTTTATTCTTTAAAGAAACGAAATGGAACTACGTTGAAAATCATGCATTTAAGGTGTGATGAAAGAAAAAATTAAGCTGTACCAGCTAAACTACGTAGAGAACTTTCGTAATTAATGATAGTTCATGCTGACTACTAAAAATACGAACACTTTTAATAATTAAAATCTGGGTATTTGTTAACAAGGGATTTGTTACAATGTTGGATGATTTAGAATTTCTTACTGTGCTAAAACTTATAGTAGTAAGTAACACAATTACTGTCGTTTAAGACTGATGAGATGAAAGCTTAAGGTTAAAACTGTGTTACATACTACAATTCAATCAGACCACTGATCATTCTTTGAAAATACAAATTAGCTATCAAGTAATAACTACTGGGACTTTTGCTCTTTACTTTTCTCATCTCTTACTAACATTATCGATTTATATTTGTAATTTTTATGACTTAACTACTCTGACATTATCATGAACTAAGAATCTTAGTACACTGCTCAAAAATTGAGCTTACTGCAAACAATGTGTCTATCCAAATTAGTTTATTCTAAAGTAAAGAAGTTTTTTCTACTATCTTTGTGTACTCTGTTCCTTAGAACGCTTAATTTTATAAATTTCGAGAATTTAATCAAGTTGAAAGTGATCCGAAGTGTGATTTGTGCTCAATTTGACCACACGTTTATTTTCCAATCAGTTTTGGATAAAAACAGGTTAGTAGCATAAAAAGTGGTGATCGAGATTCCAAGAGAGCAAAATATGGCCCAACAGAGGATTATCGCAAACTATATTTAATATAAGACGTCTGAAATGTTTCTCAGAAAAATTACAAAACCTATGTAAAGGACTTGTCAGAAGCGTTATCACATTTGGTTTACTAATGTTAGAAGTTTTGAAATTTATAGTAACGAAAATGACGCTTGTAATTAGTCCAAACAATCGTGTTCTTAATTCATTTCATACTGATACAAATAATCTCTTCTACATAGTGTTAATCTGTGTCTCAATGTATGAACTCAAACTTCGAGAAGTTTAATTAGCTATTCATATATTGTACAAGTGATGTACTCGCATTATGTAAACCTCGTGGGTGGCAGTGTGACCTAATTGCTTACTTACGTTTATTACTCCTCGTGAAGGAGCTTAGGCTACTCACCAACACCATCTAATCCTGTCGTGGACGATTCTTTTCATGTCTGCTTCCAATGTGTTCTTTGACCTTTCGCTTTTCCGTTTCCCTTCAGGATTTCGGTTTAACGCTTGCCTCGTGATGCATATTGGTGATTTTCTCAATGTCCTATCCATTTCCAACGTCTTTTCCTAATTTTCTCCTCAGCTGGGACCTGTTTTTTCTCCTATAGTAGGCTGTTGATGACGGTACTTCCGGTCAACGGACATTGAGTATAATACGTAGATAACTGTTCATAAATACTTGTACAATTTGATGATGGTTGTATTAGTTCTCCACATTTCAGCTCCGTACAGTAGGATTGTCTTGACTTTCGTATTGAAAATCCTGACTTTGATATTAGCTGGCAGTTGTCTTGAGTTCCATAGGTTATTCAACCGTTGGAATGCAGTCTTTACTTTGCCAATCCTCGCCTTTACGTCTGCATCAGATCCTCATTGTTTATCGATAATGCTACTCAGAGACGTGAAACTTCCAACTCTTCCAGAGTTTCTCCATCAAGTGTGACTACGTTGGTGTCCTCCTGTCGTATTTGAGGACCTTGGTTTTTCCATTATGAATGTCGAGGCCTGCTGATACAGAGGTTGCTGTTACATTGGTTGTCTAGTTCTGCATTTGTAGATGTGTATGGTGTAGAAGGGCTAGTTCGTCTGCGAAGCCCAAATCGTCTAGTTGCATCCAACCTGCCCGTTGTATTCCGTGCTTCCCGTCAGATGTCGAGGTCCTCGTAATCCAGTCAACTAATAGAACAAATAGAAAGGGTCAGAGTTGTCAGCCTTGTCTGACTCCAGTCCACACTTGGAATGTGTCTGTCAGCTGCCCTCCATGCATGATCTTGCAGTGTAGTCCATCGTTTGAATCCCATATGATGTTGACGATATCTCCGGTACACGATAGTGTCAAAGATGTTTCCATGAAGTCCTCCTATCAACACTATTGAACGCCTTCTCATAGCGGTGGGACGTGATGTATAGTGACGAGTTCCATTCAGTTGATTGTTCAACGATGATCCGTAGTGTCTCGATTTGGTTTGTGCACAATCGATCTTTACCGAATCCGGTGTGTTGATTTGGAGGTTGGGCGTTCATTGAGTCTTTCGGTTCAGCAACACTGTTGGAAACGTTTCCTGGTACTGATATTGGTGTGATGCCTTTGTAGGTCTCACGTTAGCTCAGATCTCCCTTCTTTGGTATCTTGATGAGGTGTCCTTGTTTCCAGTCGATCGGCACTTGTTCCTCCTCCCAAATCTTTATGAATAGAGTGTGAAGCATGTTTGCAGTTACTTTCATGTCTGACTTCAGTGCTTCGGCTAGTGTATTGTCAGGTCCTGTTGCTTTCCCACACTTGATTTTTCTGATGGCTATCTTGATTTCTTCGGTCTTCTGTGGAATGACATCTATAGGAAGGTCTGTGTGTGTTGCTTTGATATCCAGTGGATTTAATGGAGCTGGTCTATCCAAGAGTTCCTAAATTTGTCCTACCCATCTGTCCTTCTGTTTTTGAATTTCAGTGATTGGCCTAGCTTCTTTGTCCTTGATTGATCTCTCTGGTTTACTATATTTCCCTGCTAGTTTCTTCGTTGTGTCATATAGTTGTTTCACATTTCCATCTCATATAGCTTTTTCCACTTTCGTTCGTAGGTCTTCGACGTATTTTTGATTGTTGGCCATGATGCTCTTCTTCAGTTGCTTGTTTACCTCTGCGTATTCATGTTATGTCTTGACTTTTTTTGCCCTTGTTGGCTGTTGTTAACTGCTGTCTTCTTGTTCTTGTTTTCTCGAATCTTGTACACTGTTTCGGTAGAGATCAATTCCTTATCATGATGCTTCTTGCGGACCAGAACCTGACACGTTGAAGTTAGTGCTTCTTTGATCTTTTTTACAATTGTTCTCCGTAGCAGCTTCTTCGTTCAGTAGATCCTATAAGGCTTGGAACCTGATGTTGAGAGTTACCTGAATTCGTTGAGTTTTTCAGTATGTCGAAGGAATTCTGTAGTGATCCTTTTAATGCTGTTCGTTCAGTCATCCAATGCTTCTTTGTCTTCAGTTTCTTCTTGACGATAACCAGATGGTGGTGATCTAAAGCTATTTCAGCTCCATTCCTAGTTCACACATCTTCCACTGACCTAGATTTTTTTTGATACAAATACGGTCGATCTGGTTCTACGCCGTGCGGTTCGGTGAGATCCATATAGCTTTGTGTGTGCGCTTGTGTGAGAATATTGTGCCGCCTATAACCAAGTTGTTGAAAGCACATAGGTTTATAAATCTCTCCCCATTTTCATCCCTTTCTCCTAGTCCATGTATTCCCATGATATCTTCATATTCGATGTTGTCCATTCCGACGTTTGCGTTTAGGTACCCCGTCAGGATGGTGAGATCCTTTCTTGGGTACCTCACTATGATCGATTGAACTAATCTTCCATCAAGTAATCCCTCAATAAAGCTAAACATGTTTTATGACGGTAAAAATATTAAAAGTATAAGGTTGGGAATAAGTATCATCTGTAATTAATAATAATTATCCCATTCAGTATTAATTGCAATAATTCACAATTATAAATTTACCTTACAAAATAGTACTTTTACAAAGGTTTTCAGAAAAACTAAACACAATCCAGGCCTTTTTCAACCTAAACAGCATACCTTAATCCTATGGAACATTCTCAAAGGTATTAAGAACACTGATTGACAACATTTTCATTATATTTTTGAAAGTGAATGATAAACAATCAATTGAAGAATGATGAAATTCATCAAACAATATAAAAATAAAAGAAAGAAACTACTTCTCTCTTTCAAGCAGTAATATTATTTCTTATTTTCTAGTAAACTACTAAATGGTATAAATGATAGTGTCATTACTTTACCTGTTCATTCCCTATATAAGAAACTAATTTATTATTTAGAATAACAGTCAATCATTATGCTTGGAACAACATTGTTTCAATCTTTTGAATATATTAAATTTGATTATTGCATGGACGGTTATAATCATAGCTGAAATAATATTACATAATCCAGAGAATATAAATGTATATGCATAGTTTTCAGTTTGATCTTTGATTATACCTAAGCGTAAAAATAATGATAAAATAACAATATAGGTCTTATAATAACAAATAAGATTTATTATAAAATTCTGTAAACTTTCCATAATTAACAAAATAGAAATTTTCATATCCACCAATTCAATGCTAAGTGTTGATGGAATAGTTTTTAGTATGAAGAACTCATTAATCGTTTGAATATTACTATTGAAAACTGTAACGATGATAAAATGGTTCATCTTATGTCAAGTACCACTTACAATTAATTTTGTGGGAGAAAGAAATCTCGTGTCATGCGACAGGTTACCGAAATATAGCTAATTCGTATGCCTATTTTCGAATTAATCAATAAGGAATTATCTTCTGTATCTTTATAGATTTCATGTTTTTGACCAATATATATTAAAACGAAAAGATAATAGTCCCATATATTTACTGAGGCTTAATCAATTTGTACTGAATCACGAAGTTATCCTTTTTCAACTGTCTGATATTTATCGGCTAATCTACCCGCAGTTTCATAACAGTAAGTGAAATTTTAATTTTGACATGCCAATGAGGATTCATAAGACAAAAAACTATTGTGAAACTAAATTATAGTACTCCATGATAGTTCGTTACACTAACAACTAGCAGGTTAAGTAGATTAATGAAAATGTTTATAACCACAGTTCCATCCTTCAAAGACTCATGCTTTAGCACGAGTTTATAAATGTTACTAAGTGACGATTGTTAACAAGAATAATATCTATCCGAAATTGGTCTATTTAGTTTCATACATTCAATTATCTCATACCGCTTGGTTCTGTAGTTTAATTTTTTCACAGTTGATTATTCTTTACAAAATGAAAGGAGGTGGATTTTTGTTGTTTATATAACTTAAAATTTAATGACAGGTTTTTATTGAAGGTCATTTGGATGATAAACTAGCTTTATCTAGACAAAAGTCAAGGGAATTTAAGTAGTTTGAACTTTCATTCTGAAATATTTTGTTTTATCTCACACAAGATTCGGTAGTATGCAATTACACAATATAATAATAATCAGTCAAATAATTTGTTTATCCTATTTCATGCTACTTAATAATCTCAAAGTAGTATAATAAAGATTAAATTAAATGGTTGTGTTATCTAATAGTATTTTCAATATTCTCTTTATTCACTTGAATGAATAGAATGGATTTACTTTGAGCTAATCAAACAAACAAAACGTAAATCGATTAAGAAAATTGTTAGACTAACCTCCTAGTGGTCCACCAATTAAATAACCAGTTGCTTCAGAAAAAAGAACCATAGATAAACTTCTATCTACCTTTTTGTCACCCATAATATCAATAACCATTGCATGTGAAAATGCAAAACTTGGTCCTATAAAAATACTATAAGATATGCCGTAGGCAATTAAAGATGAATAGGTTGGATAGAATGGCATTATCATGGTGTGTATCGATATAACAAATAAACAAGCGGCTGAAAGAAAACGAATATCTAATTTTCTCGAAAAATGTCCAGTAAGTCCAATTGCTATTCTGCTTAACATATTAGATAATCCGACGTAAGCAAGTAAACCATTGGCTGTTTCCTCCTTCAATCCACTGCTTATACCAAAATTAATGAAATGACCATATAGTATAGAATCAGCCATATAACTTAAAGAACGATTGACGAGGAAGCTAAGAAAAAGAATATTTTTCAAGCTAATGAACGACATTCTCCTTTTCTTTATCTCATAACCAAATAAATCTCCAACTTTCTCATCATTTATCTTAGAAATCATTAAGTCAACAGCTTCTTTAGGTTCGTCCACTGAAGTTAACGATAAAAGTCTAGTTCTGCCAGGCAAATCTTTACACTTGTATAATGGTACCATGACAGCTTGACTTTGGTAAATGGTAGTTCCACTTCGTATCATTTGATCAATATATCCTCTAGACTCATATGAAAGTTTTGGATGGTCCAAGTTTAAATGTGAATTCGTAAAACGGTGCTCAGATGAAGTTATTTTATTTTGTGAAGTATTGTATTTAGATTCTTTGGTAGATGGCGTATCATCAGAGTTCCCATCTTCATCAGTTTGATAATCGACTTCATTTTCTTCGAAAATTGTATCTTCAGTCGGCTTGACATGCTTTAAAGCATAAGAACGATAGTCTGATGAGAAATTTGGATTCATCGAATCAATACATTTTTCCTCTACGATCACAGTAAGTGGTTTTGGATGAACCAACAGACTTTTTGAAGTTAACTCTTTTGAAATTTCCTCTACCTTGACAAGAGCACGTTTAATAACTGCACTTATTAGATTTTTAGTGTATTTAGTATCATGAGCCTGAATGATGCTCGAAGTAAATGAATCACCAAAAACTGGTGTTGTTTTTGTCTTTGTCTGAGCCATTGTTATTGCAGCTGTAGATTTATTTACATTAGGTGTTTGTTCCACACTTGCTTGCGAATTAATAAATGCAGTTGATCCCGTGTGAGTAACATGATCAGTGAATAACTTATCGATTCCACTTAAACGACTATCAACTAAGAATTGTGACTCTGGTAGATTAGTTTTAAAGTCGCTCAGCTGATCACATACTAAAAATATGATTGGAAGAAACAGAGTGAGACTAGGATGTGGCATTACTTCTGGTTTAATATTCTCCGCGTTGTCAAAATAATCATCAACTATTGTCTGAATTCGTTCTAATAAATGTGGTTCTGGGTCGTTGATAAAATTTATTGGACTAACCGTAACCTGATTTGAATTAGTTTTGTCATAAGTAATTTTGACAAACTCCACAACACCAATTATATCTTGTCCGGTTATCCGTGAATGTATTGCCTCTGATGTATTTCTTTGTACAGTATTATCAATGCTGGTTAGTATACTGCCACCAGTTGTACTTATAAATGATTCATATGTATTTGGTGGGCCTGTAACAGATTTTAAACAAATTGTAGACGCTACTGGATCGTTAGGTAGTAAGATAACGGGTTCTTGAATTGGTTCAAGAGGTAATGGTTTGTGTAATAAACTTAAAGGTATAACATTAAGATGGAATAAAGCTAATGAAATTAAAGCCATACGCCAGGTATAATTTTCAATCATATAACTGCATAGTAGAGTATAGAATAATGTCCCAAAACCGCCACCGCTACTACAAATAGCCAAAGCCAATATTCTATACCGATCAAAGTATCCTGCCATGATAGCTATAATACGAACAACACTGATACCCATTCCGACGCCTAAAATATCGGAGATAAAAGAAAAAAATGGTATATTTCAATAATGTTGAAAACACAACAGAATGAACTTAATTCAGGAAAAAAATGGCTATATGAATATAACTTGAAGATCTATCACACTTCATGGAGTATAGATCTCTAGTTTATTATAAGAATAAGGTTGGCCTTAATTAGGTGTCAAGCAAATATGTTTCCATAGATAGTTATGCTTTACAACGTAATCATTTTTTTATTGAAGAAGATGGTTTTTCGAACATCATTCAACTTCACTAATGACTTAAATCAAGCTTAAGTGTTTTCGAATTTGTAAACACCATAGATCAAAAACTTTATTACGTTATCTTTTTAGAAAATGAATTCAGAATAGTTACCCTCACTTAAAGGATCATGGATGATGTAACAACAGTAGTTCGCGTGTGACATCATAAATTTGATCAGTAAAAGTTGTAATTCATAATAAATGTCTCAAACCAAAGCAATAAATGTAACTCACTTGTTAAGTTCAATTTTGTGAAATTAGATATAAGCCTGACATTTTATGTGTTAACTAATCATATTGATCGACTGATAAAAACATGACAGAACGAGTGACGTTGGAGGCTTAAAATCGACAGTTGAAAATCAAATGCTGTATTCACTTAATTATCACTCTTCTATGTAGTTAATAACAGCACAAGATACAAAGGCTAAAGAGATTTACTCGTTCTTATTGCTACCTATAGGGATCTACATTAAAATACTAACTGGTCATACTGAAAATACAATTTATAATTATAGAGTAATGTAATGCGTTGATCGACTAATGTCACCCAGCAAACTATAAATTGTAAATACATTGTAACTTATCATTGTAATTTACACTAATCATACATCACTCAATTCATTATCTTCAATGATTCAGTTAAACTAGTAATTAATTGAAACATTTGTTGTTAGTATAGTCTTAAATGAATAATATATGATACATGTAGATCGGAACTTTGAAATTAATATCAATCTTGTTAGGGAAAATTCATCAACTATTCGGAAGTATAATTAAAATTACAGATTGTCTTAAAAGACTGTTAATATTTATTTCATGTTTCAATTAAGTATTATAATGATTTATTTATGTATATATCATAGTGAGTATTATCGAGATTTAAAAAAAGAGAGATGTATTTCATTTATCATAATAATAAAATTTTCTTTAAATGAAATAGTCGATGGAGCTCTACTGAATTTCCAAAGCACATTTTTCATGAATGTATTTACATTTTTGGTCACTGATGAATAATAAGTAGTAGAAACATAAGCAGTAAAATATACTTTCATTTGTAAAGAAATTCTTTAATAAGTATGTTTAATTAAAACAGAATTAATTTACCTCCAATTAAAGTATACGTTACGAAAAATCCCCAATAACTATTAAAGAATACTGAAGTAATCATAGCAATACTGGTTATCATCACAGCAACAATAGTAGCACGTTTAGTGGCTACTACATCCAATAAACGATTATATAATGGTGCTAAACATTGATAAAAAAAATATTATTCAATTTTAATTAACAACAAAATTGTATAGAAGAGTAAATAATCAAAAACAACGCACTGATATAATTCAATGTGATGTTAACACTTGTGAAGTAAATCACACCATATGATGAAACGAATAAATGATGGATTGGATTGTAGTTTAATGAACTAGAAGTTTAATTTTTGTCAATAAAGTGGAAGATTTATTTATCACTGTATCTATTTTATAGTCGGGATATTGGGTTAGTATGAATTATTTTAAAGATTATAAATAAGAAAAAACCGAGGTTTATTCTCAAGCTAATGGTAAATGTGTAGACTGTTTCAATGTCACGGCGTGTATATCGGAACATTATGTTGTCCAGCAAAACTGAAAGTTATTATTTTCTATTGACTGTGTTACAATTAATTTCACTCAAAGAAACATTTTAATCTATTTAACTAATGCTGGATTATTAAGACTACAATTTCACCTTTACAATTTAATGACATAATCTAGGTTTTAGGTTTTAATACTCCTGATGTAAAGCAAATGGGTATAATCCTTATATAAGTAATATGTTGTAAATTATTTACAAGATTATCAGTTTGATCTATATATGATATCTATTTTCTGAACTAACCAATTTTTCCTGCTTAGATTCCTAATAACATTGTATCAAACTACTCAATCTGTAACTAATAGATTCTGTCAAATGCATTATATCATTAAGTCTATCAACTATAATTTAATGTCAGAAAGGTTGTGTGGATATCATAGTAATTTCAATGGTTGAGATCATGAGTCAATTAAAGCTAGACCACCATAGAAAACTTGGAGGCACTGTACGACCGTTTCGTTCTATTGTGGGACCTCGCCTCACGAGATTCGAACCTAGGATCTAGACCATTAAGCCGGCATCCAACGGTGTTAATGTCTGAGGAGTCGTACTATAGGACGAAACGGCCGTCCAACGCCCCCAGGTTTTCCACGGTGGTCTAGATTCAATTGACTCATGATCTCAACCATTGAAATTAATATAATTTAGTGGTTAAATTTATCGATTTTTAAAAAATACAGTTTTCAGAGCCAAACGAAGACATATTGTAGTTATTTATATGAATATTAATTATATTAGTAACTTGATCTTGATGTAAACTCAATTAGTTAACTGTTTTAAAGTTCTGACTTAGATTAATAGAAGAAAACAGGTAACAAATGTCTAAGAAATTTTCGTGTAAGATATAATCTTATAGTGAATGAGGTCACTATGAAAGATGAACTATAAAGTCGCATATCCTTTTGATTAATATCTATACAAATAAGTACCAGTAACGGAAAAAGTTCCTTTCTGAACTTGGAAATCAAATTAAAATTGTTCATTATAATCAAATAACTAAACACCTCACATAATTAAAACTTGAAAAAAATCATTAAACAAAAGGAAATTTTTTAACCAATTTATTTTTGTATGAGTTTCCTGTCAATGAAATTTTATAAGGTAACAAACACGTTGTCCACTGGTTAAAGGTCAGTGAAGTAAGATAATTTTCCACAGTCATTTCGATGACCACGTTTAATAATTTTCATCACTTCAATTGTCACTAAACATAATTAGATGAATCTTAAGTACATATTAAGAAATGGTGCCGATAAGAAAAAATGAACTTAACGAATCTGGATATATAACTTAACATGGTATAATACATACCTAAACAACATGTTATTGCAAATTGTCCTGTCATAAGCCAAAATAAATAACTAATTGAAACTTCTAATGCTTCTTCTAGTCCAGGGTAGAATAGAGCACCAACATTAAGTATACCATAATGGCTTGCTATCATAAGGAATGCGCATATTGCTTTTATCCAAGCTGGACGACGATCTATGCATCTTTCTCGTTCAGAGAGTATATCTATCGGATTTTTTGTTTGAAAATGCTGCGGAAATATTAAAATACATAAAAAATTACCATTTATAGGAATAAATTAAGAAGCTGTTTATGTATAAATATAATATCTTTAATTAATAATAAATGGTTTATTTCAAGAGTATTGTCCTGTTACTATTAAAAATCAAAGTTTAATGGTTTAAACAAATTGTCCAGTAAATTCTACAAATGAACAATTCTATTAGTCAGTACTGAGTATTCATGGTTGATGTTTAGGATGGAACCAATAGTCAAATCCTATGTAACTTTACCAAATAATCTGGTGAATAAAATGAAAATAATGAAAATGTATTACACATTATCAATGATCACTCTCTTTGATGATTCTGATTTCCTAAGAATACAGTACACGATGTTCATTTGTATAGATGGAAAGATTTATCTACTATCTGTAAAGAAAAGATCAATCATTATTTATATTATTCACTATTCATATTAGTGTGAATGTGATATTTTTTACATGGAATTATACTAATGGTTTAAATTACATCTGACCTTGTATTAGAGTCTGTTAGATTGTTTTATAGCGATCGATCAATATCAATTTACAAATTAAATCTTAATTTGGGGCTTTCTTTTAATTTAGCTTTTACATAATTAATAAAGTGTGCTGAAGATTTAGCTTGTTATTCAAAGCATGTCATGCTATATATAGGAACATATTTTGTGATTACTGGCACTCATTTTTGAGTTATTTTTAAAAGTTGAGAAAAGAGAAATGCCAAATGAAAACTAAGCATTTTTCATTCTGATTATTTATCTCAAATCTCTATCCAGGACAGTGACTTTTAAAAAAAAATCTAGTTTACTATTAATAGGATAGTCTATTAACAAAAATTTCTGTGTTCTGTTCATTGCATCAGAAATAGAATAGTGAAATGAGAACAGTCACCAGTAAAACATTATTACACTCAAAAATTCGTTATAATATCCAAGGTTAGGCATAAAGCTTGAAGAAGATCTAATGACTGTCGTCACTAAATAAGGTATGGCTAGATACTCAAAAAGGACTATGGTTAAGATGAAATGTTTAACTTGAGTATGTTACCTAATAATGACTCGTTAAAATTAGTAAATCACTACTACTAGATTTATAAAAGTCGTTAATGATCACGTGGAAACATTCGAACCTTTGAATTAGTTTGAATAGACGGAATATAAAAGGTGAATTTGTACTTTTGTGCAATGAATATTTCAATGGGACTGTTTACCTCTTTTCCTAAACTGACAACTACAAATCCAATAAGATATTGTTTTAAAACGAATTCTAGGTTTACATACAACGGTAACTTTTGCTAAATATAAAACTATTGATTTCTTAATAAACAGATATCACTACTTTAAAGATGACTTTATTCTCAAACAGTGATGATGAAGCTATGGGTACTAGGTTTAAATGCCAATATGAATATAAGCACTAGAATGTAAATGCTTCATGTTGATAATTTCCAAATTGTATAAAACTTGTATTCTGTTATCCCATTGATAAAGATCTAGCAAAAGTATAATAAAATTTCAATGATTGAGATCATGAGTCAATTGAAGTTAGACCACCATGGAAAACCTGGAATCAGTGAATGGCCGTTTCGTCCTATTGTGGGATTCCTCAGCAGTGCGCATCCACGATCCCACTCGCGGGAATCGAACCTAGGATCTTAATGCTAAACCACTGAGCCTGCATCCAACGGTGTCAGTGTCTGAGTTTAACTAATCCACGAAACTGAGCGACATATCCACCATTGTAATCAGTGGGTTACTATCTCACAACTGACCTGGTTGAACTCCACTGGTTACTACTTCTCACTAGAACTCCAGGATAAACCACTTGAAACCAGTCACTAGTGATCATATGTTGATTAGTATCACCTCCTGGGTTCCAATCTCGCAAGGCGGGATCGTGAATGCACACTGCTGAGGAATCCAGTGCTTCCAGGTTTCCCATGGTGGTCTAGTTTCAATTGACTCATGATCTCAACTATTAAAATTACTACAATCTTCACAAAACCCCTTCTGATAATAAAATTTGTAAATGCATGAAATATTATATCATATTTCAAAATGACCCAATATATCATTACAAACTAATTTAATTTATTCCAAGATATCAATAACAACAACAAGAAACAACACACATTCTTACAACTAACAATATAGTCACTATTTTAAAAGTATTATATGAAGTTTATGAAAAATATTTTATTCCAGGTATTTTATTGTAGCAATTTTAGTTGATGAAATCTTTTCTCTTTTTTTGTTTTGTTTGTTTCTTCATAAAATATTTTTATGATGTCACCTATTTTACATTGAATAACCAAATCCAGTGAAATGATTTTTTTTTATTGTTTTACGTATTTTATTGTTGTTTGTTAATATGGATGGTATTTTTGATATTACAAACTGAATTACTTTAAGTAGTATTATAATCGATTAATGGTGTTTATGGTTTATGAAAATACCATAGTAAGATACTTGTTTATTTTTTTCTTCTTCTTCTTCTTTCTAATCATTAGAACATATTACATTGGACACATTGAATGGTGAAAATGATTCATGTGTTTAAAAAAATGAAATTACTTTTACATAAAATGACCTTAAGTAAATTGGCATTAAAATACAAAGAACATGAAAGGATTGTAAGATATATTGGGTAACTTTTATTAATCAATCAATAAACTTCATATAAAGTATTAATAATTAATATATCAGAGTAATAATACAGAATGCAGTCGTGTAAATCAATGTAAAAAATATTTGCTAATATGATATATTTATCACTTATGATGTTTACAATTGTAGTGTGTACTACTAATGTCAACAGATTTAAGTAATATTGATTATCAATCGAAAGTGGAATGTCTGGCGACATAAAGTTAAGAAGATCGAAATGATGAGAATGAGAATAGAGAGTGATTGATATGAAAATGAAGGAATAATCATGTTTAAGACAATTGATGGATATTTTGCAAATGAAGTATTTACTATATAGTTTTTTTTTCTTCAGATTTTAATAAGAGTTTCTGTAATTTCGTATTCAGAAACATATGATTATTCCCATTAGTGTTCTCGTTCACTACACTATAACTTAAAATATGAAATAATGAGAGTTTATGATCACTTCTTGTGATATAATGATGAGGTAATTGAAAGAATTATCCTATCCATATGTATAAATTAGACTTAAGCTTCTATAGAAAAAATAATTATTTGAATTTCTCTGTAAATGAGATATTAATGAATAATAAATTGAAAACTATTTAACATGCATAATCATCACTCATATTTGTTAGTGAATTTGATAGAACAATACTAGAATATTCATATGGCTGATGTATCCAGTAGACCAAATATCTTACAAATCGCAAGTCAGATTACTTAAGAAAGTATATGTAGGTACTAACGGATGTTATCCATACTTTCCCTCATTTTCAGGCAATTTTTTTAAATTTTTAGTTTAGCAAACTAATTTATAATAAATTACTGACACGTTTTATTCGATGGAAACCTACTAGCACCAAATTTAAATTTTGAGCTCCCTGCCAAATATTTAACATAAGACAAGTATTCTGTAATGAGGAGTTATGAAAATTGCCATCCATACAAAGACTTTTTCGATTCATTCAAGATTAGTGACTAGATAATATGACATTACTTACTTCTCGATGTTCAATTGGTGTACAATCACGTAATATGTTTTATAACTTTCTCAGAAATATACGGATTGTTTTCCATATAGCTAATAAAACTTTCTAGACCACCGTTTAATTGAGACCTTAAATGACAGTCACATTTCCCAAGGGTTGAACATAAAAATTAAGAGGTGGGGAATTTTATAAATTTTTAATTTCCCTCCATACGTATCTAAGGTTCGACTTGAAGAATTACTTATGACATCAAACCACTTAAAAGTCTAATTAATTAATTTGATTTTAATCTTATGATTAAGTGAAATGCAAACAGAATTTCAATTAACAACTGTCTGAATCTCTTATAATGATCAGTATGTGGACGAATATCACACAGTAATAGAGATTTCGATAATACAATGAGAAGACGAGGGTTATCAGAAATATGTGATGCATTTGTTCAACACATTTCGAAAAATCTGATCATACATATACTTGTTAAGAAATTTTTATATGAAAACTAAAAGGTCAACTAAACAGGTTGAAGGTAAGCCGTAACATAAAAAAATAAAGTACACAAATACAATGTGATAACCACCCTAGTTAATAAATCATTATTACCAGAGAAGGTTAAAAGTAGAAGCAAATTGTTTTTAACACATGAAGGGGGTTTCAGTTTCCGTATATCTAAGGCATTAATAAGCCTTAGTATACTCCCTTGAAGGCTTTTGTACAAGACTACAAATGCTAAATTGATATCAACCAAATGTTTCGCAATGATGTGGGATGTTTGTCTATCCTGTGATCTTATTTGACCATTAGAATTCACTTTTTCTGCAGCCATTCGCGTATGTGTTCCTCCACCCTTACTTGAAGACCACTATTGCTTCTCCCTATGTACGTGTTTCCTCATGTATATGTAAATTGACAGACACAATGGGATATGACAGAATCGCTTACGTGCTGTTTGGGTCGAATTCATTCAATTAGAATGAACTAAAATGATTTTCTAATCATAATATTTCTTTCAGTGAAAATATTCTTAAGTAATTTTATTTATTAACTCAATAATAAAATTTACTTGCATCAGACGAAAAATTAATTATTCGTTTATAAAGCAGTAAACCAACTTTACGAATAATTATGGGAGGCCTGCTTGAATATCTGGGCTATCAGTTCCCGCCATCTAGATATTTCAACAAATTAACTGTCTTTTGTTTGTTTTAACAGATCATCATGTTAATTAATTGCACAATGTGATAAGGTGCGTTTGTGAAAAGTTCACGACTTTTCGCTGTACAAATTAGGAGAGAACACAACCAGAATTATTGCGGTTGTTGGCAATATACATCGAAAAGAATGTACA